TATGTCTTCACCTACAACGACCGTAGTTTCTCTTATGACTAAATATAAAAATACAGTCCTTAAGAAACATCAGTCATTAAAAATAACCCTATTGGCAATAGAGGGATCATAACATGGGGTGAAATTATATTATTGGGGTTCCAAACAAATATAATCATATAGAATGCATATGGCCTAACATTGTACATGCATCTGTCCATCTGTCACAATGCTATTGTTTATTTCAAATTTTGATTAGATTAGGATATTTGTAAAATTTGATATTATGGATATTTTAAACTAGCTGTACCGGCGACTTCGTCCGCGTGGAATTTAACTTTATTTTTCTAAAATAAAAGTAGCCTAAGTTACTCCTTATTAAAAAAGTCCCGTCAAAATCGGTCCAGCCATTTCAGAGATTAGTAATAGCCGGAACAAACAGACAGACTGACAGACAGACAAATCTTGTAAAATAAATATTTTGGTGTATATACCGATTACCGTATTTATATTCATATGTGTGTAGTAATAAACGGTTATTTCAATATTACAAACAGACACTCCAATTTTATTTAAGGTAAAGGGCCATATTATGGAACATTGTACTAGTTTATGAAACAAGTGATAAAAATCTGAATTACAAATAATTTCTAACGTATTCAGTATTTATAATATTATCTTTATGATCTTTAATAACCTATTTATTGATTAAATTAATTTATTTTGGTAAACACCTTAAAATGTATAGAAAAAAAAAATAGTGAAATGCACGTGTCAGGTTGCATGAAAAAAGACTGTCTTTTAGAGTTAGAGAATGACAGGTGTCATCACAATTGTTTTAACAATTTGAAATATTTGTCAATGATTCAAAAATACTTGAAACATGTTAATCAAAAGTTTGACTTATAATCTATTGATTGATATTGAATTTAAAGTACTTTAATAAGGTATTTATTTTTTATTTAGGTGTTTCATAATTGCCGCAAAAATTTCTAAACAGACCGTATTTATGGAACAGTATATTCAGTGTTCCACATCCCCCTCACATTCGATTTTCTAAGTTGTCCGTAATTATGAAACAGCAATAAGTGGACAATATTTAGTTAATTTCGTGTTAATAATTGTTAATTAATTATAACAAAGCAATTTACGTTAGAACAGTTTATATTTATAAAAATTTGCATTTAGATAAGTACATAGATTGTAAATTTCCATGAAAATAAAAAACTAACCTCAAAAATGAATAAGCTGGATGATAAATATTGTTTTATGTTAATTAAAACATATACTTAAGTGGAAAACCTGCCTGAAAAAATTAATAATACTTTATTTTATTCAAAATTTTTACGAAGCACCTACATATCACATTTTTATAGATGTTTTTAAATTAATAATTTTTATAGGTAGATACATTTTTTTTATTGAATTTGATATCTTTATTCTATAGACTTGTTTTATATTGTTATTATTAATTTTGATTGTTTGGTATAATTTTTATAATTTGATATTGGTTGGTTTTCATGAAATAAATAAACTAACTGTCAAAGAAGTGACGTTGGTAAATTTTAATTTTTAGAGAAAGAACAGAACAGTAATAAAATAATTTGATTAATAATCAAGTCGAATGATAAAACTAATGATTACATGACACTTAACAATGATTGTCATTCTTCTAATAAATATTCTCCTCTGATAAATACCAGTACCCAGTCTCAACAAAGCGGCCATTCCTGAGGTAATTACTGTATGAAATTATAGTATAAAATGAACCTTTAGATATGGTTACTGAATCTCATTCTGGTATTAATGAAAGTAGTAATTTAAATTGACTAAATTTAACTAATATTTTGTTAATATAAATTTAATATTGTGCGTAATGTTGGTGATGAATTAATATTTGAGTTGAATTTGAAGTCAAGAAAAAATGGATTAAAGTTGAGTCATCAGGTAAACTCAAACTACCTTCTGCTGGCATATCTGATCAATGGATGCAATATGACTCAAAAAAAGAAACTGATCGTAAAACTAAAGAAGAAAAGCTACATAAAAGAAAACAATTATTAAATGAGAAAAAAGTGATAGCTGATGAACGGAAAAAGCTACTAGAGAACGCATTACTACAAAGGATCAAAGAAGAAATGAAATAGTTGAATTTTTGGTTTAATTTAATGTATATTTGGTTTTTATATCTTGTTTATTAATCCTAAGATTTGAAACTGTTCTTGTCATATTTACTTTGTAAGTGAATATTTATTTATTGCTTGTTTATTCATATAATTTTTAAATCTAACTGTATTAATAATTAATAATAAAACTTTTGATACTATGAATAAATAAATTAGTAACTGAAAAATGTTTTTAATGTGAGTACTTCAGTTCATTTTGAGTTCCATAATTTGGGACATTCCCGATGGAACACCCGTACGTGTTGCTTTAGACTGTTTCATAAATACGGCCGTATGTACTTGTCTGTTATTTTATTCAATTTATTAGCATTTTCAACTAAAACTCACTTGATAATAATTATTATCACTTCAGTAGATATCAGGCAAACTATTAACTTAGAAAAATTCAATGTTTCAACTCTATTTTTTTTTAAACAATGTAAAATATTCAACTCCTACTCAAAAGGTGTCTCATAATATGGCCCTTTACCTTATATGTATATATATATATATATTTTTTTCAGTATTAATCTATTTAATACCTGTAAAATTGCACGGCCATACTATCTCTGATCAACATAATGCATATATTACAAATATATAGGATGACAAACAGTCACCTAGAGGGAGGGGGGGGGGATTGTTAGTAATGTGGACTAATAACCCCATTGCTAGCAATGTACCATGTCAGGTTGACCTTCACATGATTCCCCCTGGAGATAATTGTGATAAATTCATGCTGAATTTACCACGACTAACTGACCTGACCTCATGCTCATTTTATCCTCAACTGGTGCCCCGCCAGCGCAAACCATTAGCATTTATAAGAAAAACAGAAATCATCTCGAGTTAATTATTAATTGCTTATAATTGAATGTAATGACACAAATATAGTGGTACATTTTTCACCAGTTTCTAAAGATCCCCTGACTAGACTATTCCAGCTTTCATTGCGACTAGTAATTTATCTTGTCACATACAGAAATGAGACATTTTTATATTGTTATGAGATAATAAATCATTATCAAAACAATGTATTATTTATTGTACCTATTTCCACCACTCCACACTTCCTCTCAGTAACTCAAAGGTTGACCGGAAGATATCTCTCTTTTGGGACAAGTCTGCAATTATATGCCATTATTTTTTAAGTCAATTCTGTCCTTTTATTTATAATGTTATTGTACTACTTGTACTCACTAAACGATTACTTGAATGACGAGTGTGCATGACAATAGTTGTTCATGTTCGAGATTTTCATTTAATGTTAGACATAGACACCTATATAAATACCTATGCATTGTAAATAAACTGGATTTAAAAAAAAAACTAATTCAATTGAGTTTCTTGCCAGTTCTTCTCAATTGTATCTGTATACTTAACTGGAGCGTAGGGAAAAAATTCAAATTAAAAACTAATTTATTCGTGTAGGACATTTTAGCCGCTTATGAATAAATTAATTTTGATTTTTTTTAAAAATTACAAAAAAGTATTACAAACAAACAAACAATTATGAGTAGCTGCCACTGCTCTTGAATAGGGATTTTAGACTGTAACATGTTTTAATAAAGAAATTAGTTGTAATGTATAATTCTTGCCTATTACTGCTTTAAAATTTCACACAAATTGCCGTAGTTCTACATATTCATTTATAATAACAATAAGTGTGTTTATTATGGCATCAATGGCCCATTTGTTAATAATTTACATAATAATAATAATAATATTTGAACTCAGAAAAAGACACTCAACTCTGGAAAGTTTGGACTCAGAGTGCAAGGGACCGAACCCTATGGAAATACTTGGAGGAGGCCTATGTCACATGACAGACTTGACATTCAGATGTGGGGAAAAAAATAAAAAAAAAAAATTGTAGACTAACAGGACCGCAGTTACTGCTGTAAATTTGTAATGTAATGTTATCAGTAAATAAAGGCTTTTATTATTAAAAAATAATTTACATATTTTACATCTAATGTTAGTAAAATCCTTAATTTTATTTTATTTTATTACAATATATTTACACTACACTAACAGTGGTTATAAGTTGTTAAATCTTTGCCTAACAAGTATAATTGTTGTGTAATTGGTAGGTCAAATTTATTTATGCTTTTGCTCATGAAATTGTATACATGGTGAACTTATTGCCTGATGGCATTCTCTACCAGTCAATAGCATACTGATCAGAGATAATAATAACATCTCCTTAAGCTATTCAGTTTACCAAACTAACAAGCTTGTCAACAGACATAATAAATCAGACTAAATATAAGAAAAGATATAGAAATACTCTATACATATTCTAGTCACAATGAAATTGAGTATCAAGCATTGAGAATCAATAAAAAAAACAAAGCACATAATTTTGATGTGTAACTTAGTGATCAATTAATATACATAAGGCAAACAATTCAGTTCTCTATTTACTGACAATTATAAGTATATATGCCCTAATATGATAAGTGAATTTAAATGCAAATGATTTATTTACATAAATACAATTTGTTCAACACATTTATGGAAAAATACTAGTAATTTGTAACTACACTTACTAGAGACCTGTTAATTAATTAATTAGGAGTTCAGTGAAGAGATAAATTAATTATAAATTATATTTAATGAGAATTAAATTAGATACAACATGTGAAATCAGTAAAAAACAATATTACATTTCTCTGACCACTTCATAGAGAAGCTGTCCTTTGTTTAGAAAATATAAGTAAATATTTCTTAATATCTGGCTATACCGTAAGGGACAAGGCGTGAAGATAAATATATAGTATCGTGATTGTTTTCAAAAGCGTGGGATAAAGGGATTTGTTGTGATTAATTAATTAATTTGAAAACAGTACTTACCATCTTTAAGCAACTGTCGCATCTCCTTTGTCCTTTGAAAATTAATTTCCTCCAGCAGTTGCTCCAACATCGTCGCATTTCGCAAGAATGTGGACCCTCCCAAAGACATTTTTCAAGGGGTAAATAATAAAATTCCGCGAATTTTCCCGAGTAAACAATCGAGTGTCAACACACTCCAACTACAGAGGCTAAAGGTAAATAAAGCACTCGTATTTGTACCCAGGCACATGTTACCCATTCAGGGATAAGTATATAGAACGACATGAATAACGAATAACACTATCAGATATTTAAATAGCCCACCATTTTCACAAATCCATCACAGAACGAAAATCCACCATTGATTTATTACTTTTTAAAATTTTGCGGCCCCTGATTGCAAGTTATTTGAACTCATAATGTTGTCAACATAAAATATTACATATATTTAGTATGTTTTTAAAGTGATTTTTAATTCTATAATATAGTTTTACAAAGTAATATAATTTGAAAAATGCAAATGTACTATGTCGTAGATAAACTTTAGCCATTACAAGTAACTAAAATAATTTTGCAATCCTACATCATTATTAAATTAAATTTGATGACAAAAGATCTTTTAAAACTTAAATTTATGTTTCATCAGGACTTATGAAAAATCTTGATTGTGTATAAATTGCGTGTGAAACCCAAGTCTTATTTATGAAATTATTAGTACAGCAGTACAAATTTTATATAGAAAATGGCAACTTTGAACTTTGACAAGTGAATAACATTGACATTTGCCTTTTGACAAGCTGACTTTTTTTATTTTTTTATTAAGTATTTTACGGCCTTGGAAATCTCCTTTCAGCCAATTGACAAGCTGACAATTTCAGTGGTGCCAGATTGGAGGTATTCACTCTAAAAGTGAGGAACTGAGGAACTTTAAAGGAAGAGCACCTTAGTAATCTGACAGCGCTGCGCCGCGCCGTGGAAACAAATGTTTTAAGGGATTCGAATAAATTAATTATATTATTATATTACTTGTTTTAAAATTATAATCACTTATCAAATTCGTATAAACACGAAAATGACATACTGTAAAATTTTAATTTTTTACTGGAATACACAGATACGAGTATCAAATTACCTACTTTATTTAAGTATTTTATTACTTCAAGTGTTTGACAATAATTTGTTCAAATAAATATATTTAAATGGCTTGTACCCACAAGACGAATAAAGAAAAAGAAAGAAATTAGAAGTTGACTCATTCATGGGGACAAAAAAATAATACACGAGACTGATACTGGTGTGTTTAAAATACAATAAAAAGAAAAATATCAAATAAAAATACCTATTTCTTGTTAAAAAAAAAGGAAGTCAGGATCTTGGCTAAAATTTGGGGTGGATATACGGGATCATATGACAACACTGGTCGTTTCCCTGGTCATGTCAGTTTTTGTCAAAATGAAGTAATAATTTACATTCTTGCAAAAAGTTAATAAAAATTAAAAATGTATAAATATAATTTAATTTTATAATATTAAACGACATAATCTGTCGTAAATTATAAAAAATAAATAATGTATACAGTTAAACAATTGTAATAACCAAATATATTTTGCTTTTCTTATTTTCGTCATTTATAACATTCCATAGGTAATGTACTTATATTCAATAGTTTCGACGTTTTTACAACAGTGTCATAATTATAGTTTTGTTATAGTTGTAAGTTAATAGAATAAAAATAAATCTGTATTCGAGTATATTTAATAAAAAATATTTTAAAAGTATTTTTTAATTTTACCGCTCATACACAATTATCTGTTACTCAATTAAAATATATATATATATGCCCTGTAGATAGAAAGAAACGTTCAAAATGTCAACACCGGCGGTCCGAGTCGCTTCTCGCTGCGTGCGAATGTTGCGGCGTACTGTTCGACTGAGTTCTGTCGTACCATGCGGCTGTGGCAACAGGGATTCGGGTTCCAGCTCTGGTACACGAACGGGCGTCGGTGCTGGCAGTAATTACAAGATACCGCCTGGCTCCTCTAGATGCTATGTGCTGGCCGCTGGCACTCTTGGCCTGGCGCTGATAGCAGCTGATCATGTTTACAATGGTATGTTATCGCATACAACAACATTTCTTTATATTATTCAGTAGTTGCCTATTTTTTATGTTAAATCTAGCTATTGTTTCTTAAAGAATGTGGATTCTAGATTTGTTTCAACACATTGAAAAATCTTATTTCTCACATATGGACCTGCATTTTTTTAATGTTAATTGCATATATTATTTTATAAATATGTTTTAGTGTACAATAATTTGATGTACACATTATTTAACACCTTGATTTATTTCAATTAAAGTACCGGTGATCACCATTTTGTTGCAAGGGACCTACCGGTGGGCATGCAGTCTTTGACATGTTAATTACTTCTTTGATAAATAATTCTCGAGATAATTCATTGCAAGCAAAACATTGAGTCATTCCACTTTGTAATATTTGCTCCAATATATATATATTGTATGTACAAATTTAATATAAAGAAAATTAGAATTTGTAGCAATCATTAAATATAATGCAGATCTTTGGGGGAGGCCTATGTCCAGCAGTGGACGTTTTCCGGGCTGCGATGATGATGATGATGATGATGTTCTTTGCAGTTAGTTATAATACATGCAATGTGGTTGACAGAAAGTTGACTGTTTGGTTTTGGTTATTTTTACAAAATAAAACAGCTTTTCATAAGGGCCTGTAACTAACACCATATAAACTCTGATCCTGACATTCTTATGTCCATATCTGGCACCCATAAATTAATATTTTTACTATATTTATCTTACAAGTGTATTTGTAATGCTAAGTAACAATGTTACAATGTTTTAATTGTTTCATTTAAGGTTTCATTAAAAATTAATTAATTTTTATTGTTGCAGAAAAACGATTTTTTAAAGCTGCACAACTCGGTAATGTTCAGGAATTGCGCAAGTAAGTCTCTATAACAGATTTTGTAATATTTTAGTTGTTAATCTGTATGACTGATTATCAGTTATTGCAGGTTTACATGGCAGAACTAACAATGTGCGAACCGAACAGACAGGTGGAGGCCATGATCGCGAGCGGAGAGAGCCCAGCGTCGGGCGACGGGGAGGACGGGGAGGATGGGGAGCGCGGGGAGGGCGCGGCGGACCGGCGCCACGCGCTCGGCTGGACGGCGCTGATGGTCGCCGCCGCCAACGACCGCGCCGCCGCCGTGCGCGAGCTGCTGCGGCTGGGGGCCGGCCCCGACCGCACCGAGCGGTACGCGGGCGCCGCCGCCGCCGCCGCCGCCGCCGGCCTGCACCCGCTCGAGGCGCTGCAGCGGCGCGAGGACGAGTTCTGCGCCTCCATGAACGCGCGCGCCTCCTTCCTGGGCTGGACGGCGCTGCACTACGCCGCGCTGGCGGACTCCGCGGACGCGGCGCGCGCGCTGCTGGACGCCGGCGCCGACCCCACGCTGCGGGACCACGCCGGCCGCCGCGCGCTGCACTACGCCCGGGACCCCTCCCCCGCGCGGGACCTGCTGCGCGACGGCGGCCGCGCCTGGCAGCGCCGCGTGGAGGCCGCCGCCGCCGAGGAGCGCCGCCGCTTCCCGCTCGAGCAGCGCCTGCGGCGGTACATCGTGGGGCAGCAGGCCGCCATCGAGACCGTCGCCGCCGCCGTCCGCCGCAAGGAGAACGGCTGGGCCGACGAGGACCACCCGCTCGTCTTCCTCTTCCTCGGCAGCTCGGGCATCGGCAAGACGGAGCTCGCGAAGCAGCTGGCGCGCTACATGCACCGGGACGACCCGGCCGCGTTCATCCGGCTCGACATGTCCGAGTACCAGGAGAAGCACGAGGTGGCGAAGCTGATCGGCGCGCCGCCCGGGTACGTGGGCCACGAGGAGGGCGGCCAGCTGACGAGGGCGCTGGCTCGCCGCGCGGACGCCGTCGTGCTCTTCGACGAGGTGGACAAGGCTCACCCGGACGTCCTCACCGTGCTGCTGCAGCTTTTCGATGAGGTGAGCTCGAGCCGTATTATTTAGCCGTAATCACCTTTTTTTCAAGTAGGGGACATCGTCCTTTCAGATGATCCTCATTAGTTATTAGATTCCAGTAAGGGGTCGTTCAAGTATTATTTAAGCAAATTTATTACAATTATTTATCCCCCTTGTCAGCAAAAGTACGCAAAGCTCTTACCCCCTCCCCCCGTGCTTACGTAAACATTTTTCAATTAATGTATTGTTTTTGTTAGCAAAGACAATGTGAGGGTTGCCATTTGTGTAAAATAGTAAATAACTACCGATGACGTATCATCATCTAGATTCACGTACACCCCATGTCATCGAAAATACGCAAAGCAGACCCGAAAGTCCCGTCAAAATCGGTACAGCCATTTCAAAAATTAGCCGGAACAAACAGACCGACAGACAGACAGACAAAAATTGTAAAAAATATTATTTTGGTGGTTTTTACCGTATTTATATTCATATTTATTTATTTATTTATTCGTATTTATTTCAATATTACAAACAGACACACCAATTCTATTGATATGTATAGATGTAGATATAAGCCGTAATCGCTGTGCTTAACTTATTTCGCGACTTCACTTGTGATATATTCTGTTTCAGGGCAGATTGACAGACGGGAAAGGAAAACTGATAGAATGTAAAAATGCGATTTTCGTCATGACATCCAACTTGGCGGCCGATGAGATAGCGCAGTACGGGCTCAAGTTACGGCGCGAGGCGGAGGCGCGGTCCGCGCAACGTGCTCGCATACAGCCTCCGACCACAGCAGATGTTCAGAAAAGTAATCATTTATTTAAATACAATATCGTCGGTAAATAGAAAAATGACATTTTTAAAAATTAGATACTAGAAATGCCTCCTTTTATATAAGTCAATTAAATTAACCACGCCGTCTTAATCATTATGTAAATACTTTTAAAATCAGTGATTTTGTGATTCCTGCTTAGATATTAGTCTGAGATGTCCCATCTTTAGGCATCAAGACATGCTGTAGAAGGGTTCAGGGTTCTGTTTTTCTGTGTAAATTTAAAACTTTAAAGGGAAAAATTATTTAAATAAATTTAAAAACTTCAAATGCTTGTCCTCAAGAAAAGACAAGAATGTACATTTTGAATACTGACATTTTTCTATTTAACCGACGATATGCTTAAAGAAATAGAAATAGAAATAATCTTTATTCAAATAAACTCATTACAAGCACTTTTGAATAGTCATATTTTGATTCTACCACTCATTCGGAATGCAGATTCATCACAAGAAGAATGAGAAAGAAACTTGTGTGTTGCTCTTTTGAATAGATGTTTTTTTTATATAAATAATTACAGTATAACAAGTAAGAGGCATGCGATAATCAACATAGAAATCGCTACGCACTCATTATTTGTGTAATCAGATAATGTTGTCAGTGCTATGGATTTTAAGTTTTTCTATAAAAACGATAATAATTATCGTTAACGAATTCTTTAATTTTATATAATTACGGTACAGTTTTTATTATTATTATCACTATAGACAAACCTGCATGCAATAGTTGTTCCTGCATGGGATTTTCATTTAATGTTAAACTTAGACACCTACACAAGTACACCATATAATTACATAAAATTTACTTTAAAAAAAAAGGAATTCTGTTGAGTTTCTTGCCAGTTCTTCTCAAACTGAATTTGTTTACTGAACTGGACGGTAGAGAAGAAATATTAATGCTTTTTGCATTAATATTTCTTCTCTACCGTCCGGTACACACGTTCATAAGCGGCTAAAACGTCCTACATGAATTAATAATTTTTGATTTGATTCCAGCTGAACCAGTAACTGCAGGTGAACAACCTATAAAAGACAAAGATATCACTGAGGAATCTCTGGAAGTGTCCCGTAACTTCAAGGACAGCGTGGTTAGACCGATACTGAAGCGACACTTCGGACGGGACGAGTTCCTCGGACGCATTAACGAGATCGTGTACTTCCTGCCGTTCTCGCGGCAGGAGCTGCTGACGCTGGTCAACCTGGAGCTGAAGCACTGGGCGGAGAAGGCGAAGACGAGACACGCGGTGGAGCTCCGCTGGGAGGGGGGTGTGCTGGGTGCACTCGCTGACGGGTAAACACGAGTCATCAAATCAATGTCGACCATTCGACACTGCCATATCTACCATTATTCCATTCAGACATATGAAATTTAGTAGGTGCAAATATTACCTTTTACTTATATCTGCGATCTTCCACTATTTTAAATTACCATTAGATGAAAAGCTTTCGCTCTGTAAGTGATATACGTTTTTCGAACTATTCAAACGCTGTTGGCCGCAGCTGGCCTTTATGGCTTCATGGAACGATAGGGGGCGAGTGCAGATGGCACTCCAAACTCGCTGAATAACTTATGGAGCGGCTGAAGGCTTATCTCCTGTCTGAGTGATATACTCTTGAGTGGCGGAGTATAAAGCTGCGGTTCATTTGCAGGTACGATGTGCACTACGGCGCACGGTCTATCAAGCACGAGGTGGAGCGGCGCGTGGTCAACCAGATCGCGCTGGCGGCCGAGCGCGGAGCCCTAGGGCGCGGCTGCAGCGTGCTGCTCACCGAGCGCGGCGGACGCGTCGCACTCGCCGTTAGGACTCCGCCCTCCGCCGACTACACGCCGCTCGACCTCGCTCTGTGACCTCACCACAGTTCACTACCAGTGATACTTGTTACCAATGACTTTATATGTTACCGTTAATTTATTAATAAAATAGCAATGTTTCTAAAGTGTTATTCTTTTCCGTTCCATCACTATTTTTGTTTGAAGTTTAAATTTCTAAATCCGGCTCGAAGGACTAAAAATATGTTTTTACCACATATGTTTATTATATGGGCGTTTAATATTGTGTAAAAAATACTTACATTAAAAACTTTTAGACTCTGGAGAATTTCATGCTTGGGATTTTTATTATGAATCTAAAAGCGTGGTATCTCGACACTCAGATAATTATAAAGAATAAGAACTGCTACCTTTTGATACACGGACAGGGAAAAATAAAACCCAAATATATGTAGTGCTTATTTTATTAAACATCGCACCATTATATACAAATATAATGTATAAATAAATAACAACTCTTTACAAAATATAATCGTTTATGGGCCGGCGTGCGGCTAACAACTAAACACGTGAAGGCCTCTGGTCGTACTGGACGAACACTATCCAGTACTCGATGATATCAAAATATTACACAAACAATACACGTTAGTACGCAAGTACATACGAGGGACGATATGAGTGCTCATGTCGCGTCACGTGCCCACCCCGCCCGCTCACCCGCCAACCACCCCGCGTATCGCTGCAAGCACGGATTATTAAACATCTTGTTCCCACGGACCGCCAACTTTGATGGTAATATAAGTGAATAAAGTCTTGATGTATCTATGAGTCGTTTTATTGACTTTACACATATTTATTAGGTTTTATCTGTGTCAAATATACGTCTTATCAATTTAGAAAATAATCTCGGGAACAACTCGTTCTTACAGAGATCACCAGTGCTTTGCAGACCACATTTCATAGGTACTCTGTAGGTGTATAAGCAGTATATTAAAAAGCAAAACTAGGATGCTGCTTGCGAATAAGATCACAAAAAATTTCAAGTGACATCTGGATTTAATACACTCGAGAGCCACAATAAGATCTGGTTGGTAGGGTGAGAGTGCGTGTCATGGCAACATTATGTTAGACAAGATTTGCCGCTAAGGTTAGCACTTTGCACTTCGGCCGGAATAACAGTAGGCACGTACATTGAATGGACATTACACAAATTCCCTCTATAAAAATTTATCCTTTAACCAATTTACATAAAACCTTTGCAACTGCATTATATAAATATAAGAATGTAAACCTTCGTGATCACATACGATTAATAGGTATTGCATCAAATGTATATTATATATTTATCTTATCTAGTCTCTATCTAACCTAAGTGTCTTATAACATCAGGGGTGGATACGAACGCTGGACATTTATGTCGGGGGGTAGGTACAGCAGACGATTTATTCTAAAATCCCTGTTTCGTGTTGTTCCTTGTCACTTATTAGATACGAGTATTTCAGTGTGCGATGTACATACATAGGTAATAATTATTGGAAAACATTCTGGAACACATCATCGTAATATAACTTTATATGCACATTATTATTTAGTATTCATATAAAATAGCTCACTTATTCATAATTCACTAATAGTTCATTATTATCTAATACCCTAATCTAATTGGTGTTCGATAAAATATGTTCTTGTTATAATAGGAAGAGCTACCGTCTAAGATAAAACATGTATGCATTTATAATTTATATGTATCTACTACTTACGTAAGGGGGCATACATAAGTTACGTACCACGAATTCCATTTTAACTCTTGTCACAACTGTGACAACTGGTCACATTTGTGACATTCCCTTTTTTAGGATTACTCTAATGCTGTCGGCCGCAGCTGGCCTTTACAGCTTCACCGGACGATAAGGGTCGAGTGCAGATGACACTCCAAACCCGAAAGGACTTTTGGAGCGGCTGAAAGCCAACTTCCGCTTGACGGAGACGACTTTTGGTCTGGGTGCACCGCTAAGGGTTCCAATCACATATTTTGCACTAGTATGCCCAGTGCAAATTCCTCAACGGCCCCGTTGGGATGTTAGTAATGTGTACTAATGAACCCATTGCTAGAATTCACCATGGCAGGTTCATCTCCACGCGGTACCCCTTGTAAACCATCGTGACAATTACCTGGTGTTTGGTTACGATGGGTCAACTTACCTGAACTTCATATTATCATATCATCCTCTACTGTTGACCCGCCAAAGCCAGTGCACCTTTCCATTATAAAAAAAATATGTATAAGTTATTCGTTAAAAATTCATATTACGTCCTGAAGTTGTAGGCATTAACTTAGTAATATTAGATTAAAAAATGTGACATTACGAATTTAAAACCCCCTTCCACCAATTGAATGTCACACTTTGTCACTCTCTCCCGTTTAGCGTGTACCGTAACTTATATATGACCCCTAAATGCTAAAGTATAGTACAGTAGCAATAGGTGCAAGTGATTTCTACTTAAATTAATTTATTTATACTTACAAGACAGGACCAATGATAATGATGGATTATGATAGTGCAGGCAGAGCCATAATTTTATAGTTTTATTTTGGGTGCATAGAATTTCATGTAAGAAAATCTGCTGGGAACTTTAGTTCGTATAGAGCAGGGCTTCCCAAACTGTGCGTCGCGAAGCCCCAGAGCGTCGCTTGTCGATGCGATATTGCAACCGAGTCGAGATTATGTTGCCATTTGCGACTTCGTAGCTATGCGAAACGGACTTTTCTGCAGTTGCAGCAATTAATAACAAGTACAGGTCAAACATAGACTTAGAAAAAGAAATGAGAGCAATTTCCAAACTGGAGCACCGGTTTCATAAGCTATGCTCTGAACATTTTGAAATAATCTTGAATTATTTCCAAAAAACAGCAATACTCATAATATTAATACTAGATTTAAAGACAAACTTGCTGTCACCAAGTATCGTTTAGAAAAAGTCAATAGATCTTTTATGGGAATAGGTATAAAAATATACAATAAGATACCAAAGGATATATTGGAATTACCCTTAAATAAATTCAAAACATCTGTTAAATCAAATTTACTGAGCAAAACTAAACGATTACTTGAATGACGAGCGTGCATTTCAATAGTTGTTCATGCACTGGATTTTCATTTAATGTTAGACATAGACACCTATATAAATATACATTGTAAATAAACTACTTTAAAAAAGAAAAAGTAATTCAATTAAGCTTCTTGCCAGTTCTTCTCAATTGGATCTATATATCGAACTGGACGGTAGGGAAAAAATTAAAATAATAATGTAAAAAATTTGACGTTCATAAGCGGCTAAAATGTCCTACCATGAATAAATGATTTTTGAATTTGAAAAGCAAGTATACCGTTCACATTAACCAACCAGTCATCTCTTTATCTCTTCATTCTTCGTCAATAAATATATCTTTTATATTAGTGTTGTTCTTTTAACTTATTACTAGACTAGTACTAAAATTGGTAAGTATTTTTGGGGGCTGGGTTGAGGGGCGTCGCAAAAGAAATAGCAATGTCCCAAGGGCGTTACAACACGAATAAGTTTGGGAAGCCCGGGTATAGAGCAAAAGAAGAATAAAATAGTTCAATTTGTTCCTGGAGGTCTCAAAACACCGCTTTTCATAATATTTGCTTTGTATAACCTTTACTTATAATATACTAGCTACCGGACTCGACTTCGCACGGCTCTACATATAAACCTATAAACCTTCCTCTTGAATCACTGCTTGACAAACTGTATTAAAAACCGTTGCGTGGTTTATAAGATGTAAGTGTACAGACAGCGAAAGCGACTACATTTTATATTATTTCTAGCTGTCCCGCCAAACGTTGTTTTGCCTTAAAATAAAATAAAAATTTAGGGGTGGACTACCCCTAACATTTAGGGGGATGAAAAATAGATGTTGGCCGATTCTCAGACCGACTCAATACGCTCACAAAATTTCATGAGAATCGGTCAAGCCGTTTCGGAGGAGTATGGGAACGAAAACTGTGACACGAGAATTTTATATATAAGATTTTATTCTTATATTATGTAAAGATACCTGAATTAAATGTACTAATTTGTTAATATTACAGCCTCAAGGAGTTAAACTTGCGAAGGTTATAGGTACTTGTAAATACATTTACAATTATGTTATATAAAGCGATCTTTTGAATCACACTGGATTTAAACACTTCAGTGTATTGCCTTGTCACATTTAATATTTTATCCTAAGCACTTTAATATTGTTCAAAATAGTTAGCAATGTCATTATGACAGAGTACTAAATAATAATAATCTAAGGACAATTCACACAGCGCCATCTAGACCCAAGTTAAGCTAGCTAAAGCTTGTGTTATGGGTACTAGATAACTGATGCAAATACATAGATTATTTTCGTAAATACATTATACATAGAAAATACTCAGACCGACACAAACAAATATACTCATGAATACAAATGTTTGCGCAGTGCGATCGAACCCGCGACCATCGGAAGTAAGGGGATGTGCTACATCGCTATACCACCGAGGTCGTCGTAAATACTAAAGTGTCTACATCCAATATACGCGAAGCACTACCAGGAACAATATTATTCGTGATAATTAAAGTAATTCTTATATATTGTTTTAAATTTGAGGCGGACATTATTTATACGTATAATTAGTAAATCATGGGATCTTACCACGTTTTATTTTGAAATACACCAACCGAAGGTATTGGCATCAGAACGACATTACATCCCAAGGATGGTTGGAGAGGCGATCGAAATACAGAAATATAAAAATTTCAACCGAGAAGATGGCTATAGACTCTCTAATGCCTGGAATCCAGTGATTGGTTTAATTAAACAAGAACATAAAACGCGATCAGAAAGTGTATTAAGACGTGAAGATACTGTGAGTATAGCTTGCCGAGAGGAATATCGAGCGAGTTCCAATAGTAGCAACAAACGAAGACGTGTGAAGGTAGAAGAATATGTCTACCCATAAAAGATTTATTTACCATCTACCCGCTGGTTTTCAGTTTACCCGTGACCAACGGCGGATCCAAGGGGGGTCATGGGGGTCGTGACCCACCCTGAGCCCAGGACGGTGGACTTAGGTGGATCACTAATTGAACGAAA